AGAGCTAGAGAGAGAAAGTGAGTAATTATATTTCTCAACCCCCTATAACTAGCCCCAAGGGGACTATTTATAGGCAAAAATGTGGATTTGGGCTCCTAGCCATGGGCTTAGGAGGCCCATTACAATAATTATGCCTTCTTTGGGCGAAATAGGGCCAATAATGGGCTGAGTACAATACTTAGTAAATAAAGTAGAGAGATGCATTCTGCCAGGGCGAAGTCTGGCCGATGCGGTGCCTTTTGGCCGATGCGGTCTCATGGCCGATGCGGTCCCCCGGGAGTCCAGGCGTGCTTCCTGGGCCAGTTCGGTTTCTGGCCGATGCGGACCCACTGGTCGAAGGGGGCCACGTGGGTGGTGTCCTGGTCATCGTTGACTCGAGTATGTGGGCCATGGGGTCCAGGCCCATGTACTCTATCAGGAGTCCCCCACTCTCTGAGCTGAGGCGAAGCCGAAGCGAAAGGGAGTACTTGTTCCTTTCTGGCTGGCCGTTGCGTGAGCTCGAGGTGCTTGGCGGCCGAGGAGGTTCTGCTTTGATTTTGGATGAAGCGGTTTCCTCAGATGTAGACGGAGCGCGCTTGAGGATTCATAACCTTGGTGCGGGTCGATGCGCTCTCTGTGAAAAGTGTTTTTAGGATGATGCGGCGCGCTTTCTCTTTCCAGTAGATGTGCATTTATGGAGAAACTGACCTGTTTTATTACCATTTTGTTGGGGCCGAAGAGGTCCCACGTACTTTTGGCCGTGGTGGCGACATAGTTTTATGAAGCGAAGATGTTTGATCCCGTCTATGAGGACGATGCGAGCCGCACGCTTTTGATCTATCATGCTGCCGAAGCGCTTTGACTTGTGTATTCTTGCTTCAGTGAGCCGACGCAATCCCCCAGTGTACGTAGCTGTTGCGCACTGGATCTTGTATTTTGGGTTTTTGATTTTTGGGCTCTGTAGCTGATGCGGTCCTCAGTGCTTTTGAGGTGAATTTGTTTGTCTTTGGTTATTGGTGAGCCGTAGCGAATCCTCTGTGTGTTGAGGCCGTTGCACTCCAATTTATGCTGTTTCCCTATCTTGTAGCCGATACAGTCCCCCCCAGTCCCCCACTCCTTTGGCTGAAGAGCACTTGAGGCACAAAGGAGTCATGGTGTCCCCAAGCCGATACGATACATTTGCGCTAGTCGTGAGTCCAACCCTTAGGCGAACTTGTCCAAGGTAACCCTGTGGGAGAACCCTTGGACGAAGGCCGCAATACCGGGGTCATCATCAAACGATGTGCGCGTAAGTAGCCGTAGCAATGCTTGTGGTTCTTTGGGTCACTTTGGGGCCATAGAGCGTTTTGGACGATGCGGCCATCCCTTTTGGTAAGTTGGGCCGCCGCGAGTTTTTCCTTGCTTTTGAGTGAGTAGGCCGATGTTCATCCTAGTTTTGGGGCTTGTTGGGCCGTAGCGGTGGCCTTAGAGTGGAATGTGAAAAGACATGCGCTGATTGGCCCTAAGAGAGGTGCCGTTGAGGTGGCTAATTGGAGGTTGCCACGTGTAGTGACCGTTGGAGGGGATGCCTATAAAAGCACCAAATGATAGAGTATTAATTCTAGAGAGAAGTGAGAGCTAGAGAGAGAAAGTGAGTAATTATATTTCTCAACCCCCTATAACTAGCCCCAAGGGGACTATTTATAGGCAAAATGTGGATTTGGGCTCCTAGCCATGGGCTTAGGAGGCCCATTACAATAATTATGCCTTCTTTGGGCGAAATAGGGCCAATAATGGGCTGAGTACAATACTTAGTAAATAAAGTAGAGAGATGCATTCTGCCAGGGCGAAGTCTGGCCGATGCGGTGCCTTTTGGCCGATGCGGTCTCATGGCCGATGCGGTCCCCCGGGAGTCCAGGCGTGCTTCCTGGGCCGGTTCGGTTTCTGGCCGATGCGGACCCACTGGTCGAAGGGGGCCACGTGGGTGGTGTCCTGGTCATCGTTGACTCGAGTATGTGGGCCATGGGGTCCAGGCCCATGTACTCTATCAGTAACTTTAGTGTTTAGACAAGTATATTTCTACCCAAATCCCAACAACTTTCATTAATAATTAAAACATAAAAGGAATAACATTAATTTATAATAAAATTGTAAAAAAATGAAAAAACACGAAAACATATCAAATAAAACATACTTCGTATTAAATAAAATTAATAAAAATAAAAATTATTTAAATAAAAAATATTAAACAAAAAAACTAAAAAATTAAAATTAAAAAAAAAAGTAGGCGTCTGCCGCCGCCTCAACAACCTCCCAGCACCACCAGCTCCGACCACCGAAAAAAAATGCCAACATTTTTCCGAAATGCCATCATGATGGCAGATTTTGAGAAAATTTGGCATTTTCAAAGAGCAAAACTACCATCTTTATGGCATTTTCAAAGAAAAATGGAAGTTTTAACATAAGATGGCATTTTTTCTGCCGATCGGAGGTGACATTGCTAGGTGATGGCCGAGGTTGCGGCAAAGGCCTGCATAAATTTTTTATATTTTTTAATGTGGTTTATCTATTTTTTATTTATTTTCAAATTTTTTATTTTTTAAAAAAAAATATTTTTTTAACTTTTATTATTTCAATATATTTTTTCAAATATTTTAGAAATTTTTTTATATTTTATTAGGATCAAATAAGTCATATTTTAGAATTAACTAGGTTAGGGGTATTAAGGGTACAAAATTAATATTAATTCCTATTGAAGGAAGTTTTAAGTTTCACTCCTATTTATGCAATTATGTTTATGTTTACTCCTATATTGGGCAATTTCTCAAAAGTCAATTATATCGTCCAACTAAATAACCATCCAATTAAACCCATGAACTTTTGAAAAACAATCAAATGTAAAATCTGGTAGGTTTACTCTAGCTTAACTGCTTACTAAATACAAGTGGCAGTCTAGGAATATATATACGTGTGTGTATATATATAATAAGAATAATAATAATAATTATTATTATTATTATAATAAAAGTGATAGATTATGTTTGAACTTTTTTTATCTGAGTGTTTCCGATCTGATCTGAATGTTTTTGATCTTGTCTGATCTGATCTAAATTTTTCTGATCTGATCTTAATTCCTCTAATCTGATCTGAATAAAATAAGAATAAACAATAAGTAATAAGAATAAGACGAATAGGACAAACTTCTTAATTATGTAAAGTTAGGTGAAAATTTATATGAAGTATCTTAATTATGGGGTAATACGGAGTAACTAATAAGTAAATTCTCTATTTCAAATACGCGCCACCATACATTATCGTAATTTATTTTGACCCAAGTTTATGGTCTTTTTGATGATTTCTTCATCCTAGAACTAATGTGATGGTGTTGTTAGATACTTCCACATTTATCCGAACTCTCTAGACAAAGGCTTACATGTAAATTGGAGTTTAATTTATCTTGGGGCACATAAATTAAGAGTGAAGGATGAAGAATTGGAGAGAAAGAAAATGAAGAAAGATATGAAAGAAAAAGCAAAGAAGATAAACATTGACACCAAAAGACTAAAGTCCTAGACTGCCACTTGTATTTCGTAAGCAGTTAAGCAAGAGTAAAACTACTAGATTTAACATTTGATTGTTTTTCAAAGGGAAAACTGTCAAATAGGTCCTCGAACTTTCATAAAAAAGTCAATTAAGTCCTTCTACAGGAGACTCTGTCCGGTCGTCGCGATTTGGGGTGGTTCCTGGTGGAATTTTTTGATGAACTTTTTTGTGCATCTTATTTATCAAGTCTAGTTTACTCATACCAAATTTCAGCTAAAAATTTAATCGGGAGCGCATTCAAATTAATTCGAGAACGCAAAAATGCGCAGTATCTTCAAGAATTAATTTGAATGTGTTCCCTATTGAATTTTTAGCTAAAATTTGGTATGAGTAAACTAGACTTGGTTAATAAGTTACTCAAAAAATTTCATCAAAAAATTCCACCGGGAACTGCCCCAAATCACGAGGGCCGGACAGAACCTCCTATAGAAGAACTTAATTGACCTTTTTATGAAAGTTCGAGGACCTATTTGACAGTTTTCCCTTTTTCAAAAGTTCATGGGTTTAATTGGGTCATTTGGATGATTATTTAGTTGGACGATCTAATTGACTTTTTTTATATACCATGAGGACAACAAGGCATATAACACACCGCATATTTGACAGTTTTCCGTTTCAAAATCAATTTTTTCTCAAACACTATCAATTTTTACTACTAAACACTTTCCAAAATCACTTTGAAGAGTGCTTTTTTAAAAGTAGTAGCGTTTGCAAATCACTAATATGCGATGGTTTTATTTTTATGAAAGATACTTGGGTCATCTTGTCTTTTTATTAAGGGAAAAGGGGCAAATAAGCCCCCGAACTTACCGGAAAAGTGCAAATAAGCCCTTTTATAGGAAGCTTTGTCCGGCCGTCACCATTTGAAGCGGTTCCCAGTGAAATATTTTGATGAAATTTTTTTAGCATCTTCTTCATTAAGTCTAGTTTGCCCATACCAAATTTCAACTAAAAGTTCAACTGAAAAGGCAGTCAAATAAATGTTAGAAGATAACTGAGCAGTTAAACAACGCAGTATAATTCAGAAAATCATTTAGCTGCCTTCCCGGTTAAATTTTTAGCTAAAATTTGGTATAGGTAAACTAGACTTAGTAAAGAAGATGCTCAAAAATATTCATAAAAAAACTCTACCTGGAACCGCACCAAATGGCAACGACTGGACAGAGCTTCCTATAAAAGGGTTTATTTGCACTTTTTGGGTTAGTTCGAGGGCTTATTTGCACATTTTCCCTTTTGACACAATCTTTACTCGTAAAAATGGATTACAAAAGCCCTCGAGCACGGAGAATGTTGGAGATGCAGTGTTGGGAGTTTGGGTCTTTGGTACCATTCTAGGAGTTCTAGGTCAAATTTAGTTTCAAGCTTAACTGAATAGTTTCAAGCTTAACTGAATAGACATCAAGTAAAACAAAGGGTATGCAAGGAACAAGACTGGAGAACAGCATAGATAAATGCAAAGCTTGTACAACCAAACAAAACCAACAATGCACCACAAAATTAACATTAATCATCATAATATAAAATCAAGTAATCAACGGCAAAACCTTACAAGGAATAATGTCAACAACGAAGATTGTAGAAAAAGGATAAAAACAACAGTCATATTTTGAAACTTTAACACAACAAAAACAGAAAGATGTCATGGAAGGAAGAAAATAATCCAGGCCAGCAATTAGACGCCTACATCTTTCTTACTGGTCAGTTGGCATGCTCTTAATAATGTCAGAATCACCTGATAGCACAAACGGATTGAAACAGACATGTGCAATAAGCATACAGTAATGATACTTTCACACCACATGTGAAGTTACAACCCCACCCTCCCCATGCTAAATTATTACATCATTTTCCTTACAAAGTCAACAGCTCATTGTAATGAAGCATTTGGTTGACGTTATCTCACATTACCTTGGTGATAATGTGTGAACTATGAAGGGCAATCCAAGTTTACCTCCACTTACAGGAAAAAATTAGGTTGGGATAATCGAATCACCAACAGGTTTGAGTTAATACTAGATATAGTTTATGATAATGCCCAACAGGTTTGAGTTCTGTTTTATCCAACGCAACTCAAACTGTTTATAGTGCCAGTGGAGGCTGTATCCATCACCAGTCCACTATCCTATGAGCTGCTACGCATAACTTGAAACGAATGCAGCAATGAAGAGAGCTGAAATTAGGTAAGACCAGTATCTTCCCATTTGCTTAAGACTCCCACTTTACAATTGCAGGTATAAATATAACCCCTCCAGTGGTATATAGGAACGGGTTGATCTGGCACTTAATGGATAAAATGCAGCTAAAATATAAGGACAAATTTGGTAGGAAAGTGAAATTCTACTAAAACTGACCAAATTAATAGTACGGCACTAAATTAGCTACTGCGTCAATGATTGGAGAACTATTTTTGGGCATTGCATCAGCTAGATTCTCAAGTTTTAAGACTGAATGTTTACCTAGTAATATATTTTGTTCCATCTTTGAGCTTAAAAATTTAAATTCAAGCAATATAACATCACTTTAGGTGAAGCGAACAACTTAGAATAATGAAATGTGCCAGTAATACCACATTCCTTCTGATAAAACAATCCTGTTCACCGAGGCAATTGTATGTTCAGTGAAGCAAATGGATAAAGAGATGATAAGGTGGGATGTATATCCAATCACGTAACCTGTGTAAATCTTACAAGATATTTCTATGATCTTATTCAAGTGTTCCAACCAATGTTTGAAATTGCGAATTTGCGCATTACGCAATTGAGGCATTTTTTCCATCTATTACATAAGCCTCATTGTGCATTGAGGCGTAAGGCTAAGGCGTAGATCTTAATGCTTAGGGAAACATTTTATATTAAAAAAAATATAACTAATAATACATAAAAATTCATTCAAAATAACATACTACCTCCGTCTCAAAATGCTTGTCCATCTTTAAAACTTTGATAAAATTCATGAAAATGTTGTTTGTTGAAAGTATTGTCATAAGTATAAAATCTATAACTTTTATATTATTAAACAAATCAAAATTGATGAATGCAAAAGACGATTGCCACCGGTAATATTTAAACATTACTTGATATACTAATATAATCCAAATTAAAGTGTAAGCAATTATACTTGAACAAAACTTCAAATTATATGAGAAGTAACACTCCACTAAGAATAAAAGAAAACTTTTAATATAAATAATTAAAACATTGCCTAAAACAGAGAAAACATAGTAAAATTCGTAGCAAGAAGTAATTTTGAGCCTAAACAAACATTAAACAAAAAATTGAATCTAGCTGGAATCCACTCAAAATAATACGTAGTATATACTTTGTAGGGAGTATAATCTAATAATCCTCTCAAGAGATGCCAAAGGATATTACTTTGGAACCCACTCAAGGTAATCTACTCTATATATAATCTCATCTCCCTAGTCCCTACTTAAGCATGCCAACACACGCTGAGGGACAGACGTGCACAAATAAGAAAATGCAGAGCGACGAGAAGGATAGATGGACAGGCGAAGCTCACAAAGGAGCTGGTGTAAAAAATTAATAAGTAGAGAGAGAGAGAGAGAGGTGGACCACCGCATGCTAATCAGAAGAAGAGATAAGTATTTAAAAGAATGACTGATATATTACTTGGAGCGTTGGAATTGACAAAAATGAGACAATAATCCTGTTTGGACAAAAAACAGACATGTTTAGATCTGAAATGGGAAGATTATCCTTCATATAAATATGGAAAAGATAGCCTGCTTCCACCCTAACCCTATCCGCGCATCTCGTACGTGTTGTGCGCATCTCTTCAGCGCCTCTCTCGTCGTCTTCTCTTTGATGCACCTCTCTACACCGGAGTTGTCACCACATTGCTAGGGGCTTTTGGGGCAACGATGAGTCTAGTCTTACAAGGGAGGGGCTGGTGTGGACCGGTGGGGCAGGGGGCAGATCTGGGGTTGTTTGGTGGGACGGGACTGGGGTTGACTGGTGGGGTAGGGGGCAGGACTGGGGTGGACTGGTGGGGCTGGGTAAGGCAGATGGCCGGAGGTGGTGGTCGCTGCCGCCGGCCAGGTGGTCACCGGTGAGGGCAATGTTAGTCACTGGGCGGCAGCATTGGTCACTGAGTCGAGGCAGTGGTGGCGGGTAATTGTCACTACCAAATAGGTCACTGTCAATGGTCAGGCGACCGTTGGTTACTAGACGGGTGGATGTGGGTCGTTGGATGGGAGGACAGTGGTCACTGTTACATTGGTCACTGGGCAGATGCAGTGGTGACGGATAACTGTCACTGCCAAATAGGTCACTGTCACTAGTCAGGCGACCATTGGTTACTGGACGGGCGGATGTTGGTCACTGGACGGGTGGGCGTTGGTCACCGGACGGGCGGTCAACGGTCATTGTGACATTGGCAAGCTTGTCATGGTGTCGCCTAGGTGTCGCCAACTAGGCGTCCAGGCACTGGGGAGTATTCGCTTGTGAACCTCGCCCCGCCAGAAGAAGAATCGTCGAGGTTGGTGTCATGCAGTCTTCGTCCAGGCATGAAGTTGGCGACAAGTTGTCCAGTTGAGGTCGAAGTCCGCATTCCGCAGGCCCAAAAACGAGTTGAGTAAAATTTAATTTTTTTACGAAACTCATTTAATTATGGATTTAAGGCATTAGACAATTAGGCTTTTCATTTAATTTAAAACAAAGCCCGAAATCCCAAATATATCTCAAGAGGCAGAGTTGTAGAGAACAAATCGCATGACCAGAGTACCAGACGCAGCGACGAACTTAAGGAAGCAGAAGAAGTTGCCAGTCTCGTTAGTCGCCATCCCCAGTCCGTCGTTGAAGGTTGAAGCAGAAGACCAGAAACAGGTTCACCAATCTCTTGTTCTCTTCTCGGGCAGTGGTAGATTTAGTTCATAATACTTTAATTAATCAAGTGGTAAAAATAATTATACAGTTATTATCAATATATGCAATTATGCATATTGTGTATACATATACTTATACTCTATACTTCTTTACTACATATATTAGGTGAACCCATTAAACTTTTTCTTTTTTATGAAAAATTAAACCATTAATTTATTAACGTTGAACCCATTAAACTTCTATACTTCTATACTACGTATATCAGTGAATGTGATATAGACTATTAAATCATTAATTTATTATATTGGTACTATATTGATATGCTCGTATTAGACTATTAGTTTAACAATTAACTATAAAACCATTAATAAACATTGTTTTCAATTGTTAATTGTGGGTTTCAATTTGAAGTTGTACACAATTTAGTTATTAATATATTATTATACATAATATATAATTATATATATATATAATTATATACTACCTCCGTCCCGTTGGAATGTTCCCACTTTCCTTTTTTGGATGTCCCAGTGGAAAGTTCTCATTTCCCTAAATGGAAAGTTATCCTACATCAAAACAGTGTCAAACAGTGTCAAACAGTGTCAAACAGTGTCCAAACAGTAAAATTTACCCCCTAGTAAGTTTATTTCCTTAATATGTGTGTAGGTCAAACCGGGAACATTCCAACGGGACGGAGGGAGTATATTATACGAGGCTGTTTGGAAACACTGTTTTTCGGCTTATCAGGCTTATCAGCCAACTTTTTCACCAAACACGTAAGTTTTGCTTTCGCGCACTGAATTGTGTAATAAGCAGAAAAAGTAAGGTTGAAATTACTTTTCTGGCTGTATTGGCTGAAGTTACGGTAGACGACCATTTTAGCTATTTTTACATATAATTTTTTCTTTATTTTATTAATAAAATATATTTTAAAAATAAATTTTTCTTGAATCAGCAGAATCAGCCAATGCAGCTACTTCAGCCAGAACTTCATAAATTTCAGCAGAATCAGCCAAATCAACCAATTTTCATGCTACCAAACGGGCTCTACATATGTAAGGGACTAGTCGCCTAATTGTCGCCTAGACGGGTGCCTTATCGCCTAGGCGATAAGGCGGTCAGCTGGCGTCGTGACAAGTATGGACATTGGTCACTATAGCGTTAGTCACTGGATTACGAGAGGGATTTAATCATCCTCACTCATTTTTAGTTACATTTTTGGAAATTTTTAAAAAAGTCTCTTTTTTTGTCCAAAGCTAGTTTTTTGGTAATATTTATGACATAACCCCCGAGTATTTTGATCAAGTTTAAATTTTAATTATTGGGTTTGAAATTAGGGCCCATCTTTTTCAGGTAATCTAGAGATTTATTATTGCGTAAGCCTTCTTGCAATTTGTATCGCACGCCTTATATCGTACGCCTCTATCTGAAAGGCGTTAGCTTTCTTATGGCGTAAACTAAGATTTCGCTTTAATCGCAACCGACCACAAAATCGATGAGACGCGCCTCAAGGCATGATTCTAATGTGCAATTTCAAGCAATTTCAAACTATTTTGGAAATAAAGCTTGGATGTTGTTGTAGTTGTGAAATACCCTTTACAATTAGTTATACAATAGAAAGTAGATGTTTGTAGATTTACTTGTTCAGAAAACATGAACTCACCAGGATCAATAATGCTGAGGCAACACACTCTGTAATACTTGCCACATGCAGTTCCCAGGTCAACATTGTCTGAAACAGAACATGAGTTGAAAAAAATATATGAATAATAAACCTTTTCAGATTAACTACACTGAAACTTGTAGGCAGTATAGATAGATATTTTAATGAAAGTATCTCATAGACTTACTTCCATTGTAATGGTGAACTCCAACCTTTGCCAACATAGCGTAATACTCTATCTCAGACTTTCTAAGAGGAGGGCAGTTGTTGGAAATTATTATCAGCTTTCCTGTGGTAAAAGCATGAAATTGGAATCAAAGGAAATACTCCCTCTGTCAATTTGAACTTTGTCATCTTTTAACTTTTTGGTCAATCATCTTCAACTTTGAACAATTATATATATTTAAAAGAATTTATTTATAATATATAAGTGACACGAAAATGTTCTTTGTTAAAAGTACTTTCATAAAATATATAATTAATAACTTCCATAATATCATACTAATCAAAAGTCGATGGAAAAAGGGCGGAGGTAGTATGTCATCTCGAGGTACAGAGTTAAACATAGTTGCTTTTGCATACATAGACATCGCAACAGTTTCAAATGCAACATGAAGAGATTAAGCTGAAAATAAAGAGATAAACAAGGCCCTAAAACTAAATTATATACATACAACGTTTTAAAAGGCAATCGAGTCGTCTTCATTGAAGGCGTAAAGGCAGCTGAAATGCCTAAAACGCTTAGGCCTTGCGTCCCAGATATAAGGCTTATACCTCCATTTTGATGAGGTAATGAAGCATTGAGGCGTTCATGGAGCACGCAATGTGTACGCCTCCACGCCTCCAATTTAACCAGTTTGGGGTGATTTTTTATATGTATGAGCCTCCAAATGAATGCGTTCTTCCTTTGCTTATATTTTTTTAATGTGCTTTTAGCTTTAAAAGGCAGTGTTTTTATTTAATAAAAAGGCTCATACACTAACTCACTAAGCATGTGTTTACACTAAACCCAAACAAGTCTTGTTTCATTTAAAACCTAACATATATTAAGCATTCTACATGTCATTGAAACTTATTCATACTTTTGCAGAACGAAGCAGATGGGTGAACAAGGAAAAAATAAGAAAAATAAGCAAGTAATGGAGGTAATTGATGGTGATGAAGAGAAAGAACTTGAGGATTTTGATAGAGATGATAGAAGGGATGACGGTGAGAAGGCTATAAGATATAAATATATACTGCTTCTTCTGAAGACCTTTCGTCATGATGATTAAACTTCGAGAGTTTCAAATTTGGTCATCTATGAGATGTGTCTGTTCTGTGTTTGAATTCTCATTTTGAGTTATCGTGGTTGATGATGTGATCATATATGTGTTTGTGTTTGAGACTTTTTAGACTTCATTATGCATATGTATAGTTGATTATACTAGTTGAACTATTTTAAGTTTTACTTCTTGGGGTAAATTTTGAGGCTTACACCTCACCTCTCTGGAACAGACCGTCTTGATACCTGAACTAGACTTGTTAAACCTCATTGTTAACCTAGTGGGGAGGGGAGGGGAAGGGAAGAAAGAATTTGAAAAGTAAAGCAAAAAAATCGTGTGGGTCACCACGGGGGTACATTTAGCAACTGTACATTGTTAACCTAGTTAGAATACGGAAGCAGGATAATAAGTTCGAAACAATGAAAAGACTATATTGTACAACAAATCCATTTGAGGCAACGCTAGAAGTTCCTAATTAAATGGAGAAAGTGATATGAAGAAGAAAACCTTTAGAGCTTCTGAGAGACTTGAGAACGGTTTTGTATCCCAAAGTGTATTTTCCACTCTTCATGACCAGAGCAAGCCTGTTGTTAATGCTCTCATGGGTCTTCTTCTGTGATATTAGAAAGCAAATCAACCATTTGTATACATCTGAGATAAAAACGTATGAAGAAAGGTAAAGAGACTCACAGTCTTCTTGGGGGCAACCATGACTGTTCTTGCTCGTTGATCGGTTGGCCGGAGCAACAAACGATTCGGGGCGAAAAGCGTCCACTAGAGCGACGAAGGAACCGTTAACATCGGGAGCGGCTTTGGCTATATACCTCAGATGATAGGGATCACGAAGGAAGACGGGGTCGGGCTAATGGGCCTGAGGTTTCCTTCTTGGGTGTTCCTTTTGTGGCCCACTCTGGCAGCCTAACTTTAGTTGATACTACTCATGTTTTCTTTTGGACTGTAATTTGTTGGTATGATCTGATCTGATGTGCTTAAATCTTGTCTAGACTGAACTGGTTTGTTATGTTAAATGTTTAGCCTTTGTATGTTTTATAATCTTCTAAATCGGTTCTGATCTGCTTAAATCTGGTCTGGTCTTGTCAGGTCTAGTTAAGTCTTGTTTGATCTGGTCTAGGACTAAAAACGCTCCAAAAGAAAATATCTTACCTCCGTTCCGTTCAAATATTCTCATCATAATATGACATGATTGTTTAAACAATGATTAAACATTCTAATTCGAGTATATTTTGATACAGAGGTGCAAGCAATGAGGGATGCTGCTGCTAAGCATGGCCGAGTCCTCGAGAGAATCATGTCTGAGCATTCTGCTGCTCTTGAAAAGGCAAGGGCCTCCTCCGTTGATGAGTTTATGGCCTCCTGCTCAGGAGATTTCCTTTCTGCTCCGTCTGTGTCCTGGCTCCATGGGGTGATGGGCAGACACATGGACAGCCAGCTGGCTGGCCACTGAGGAGGGGATGATCTTCTTAAAAAGAATTTGCTTCAAATCAAGGAATATGGGCAGTACAATATGCAAAAGGAGATCTATAACCAACTTGTTTAGGAGATCCCGAGCTTTAGCTATAAGAAGTGTCATTTATCCCGACCTATGCAGCATCCTCGCCAAGCTCCAGGCTAGGTGATTGAGTATTCCATTGCGACCTTGTAGCATCCTGAGGCCGAGGATGGTAGGGAAGTGGGGCAGGAGAAAAAGAAGAAAAAATGGAACAGGAAAGAGTGAATTGCCCTCCTCCCATCTTTCTTTTCAATATGGGTATTGAGCCTTGTACCAAACATCTTAACATTTATGTGAATGTCAATCCATTTGATATGTTTCTTCCTTTTGTTTCTTTGCTTTGTTGTTTGTTGTCATTTGTGCTATCTTGTTGACTGCATAGTTTTGACTTTGTGGTGGGGATGGGACTCACATGGACTGTCCTCCTTTTGTTTGTACTTGTCAAGATTTGCTAAATGTACAGTTTTGTTCTGATAGAAACTAACAATTCTCGAATCTTTAGCTAACAACACAATCAAGAAAATTGAAGGTTTGCGAACCCTAAACCCGTTCGGGTTTTTTAATTTAAATACTAGGCCCGACCCTTTGATATTTCAAATCGGGTATTTCGGATATTTTTAAGTCGGATATTTTCGGATATCGGGTCGGGTTTCGGATATTTCGGTTATATTAAAAAAAATTATAATTGGATAATTAAAGTGTTTAAATGCCACTTTGACAAAAATTGTACATACTAGTGCACTAAACTTCCAAATTACACAAATAATTTAACACAAATTGCACAAATAATTGCACAAATAATTGAACACAAGTATTAATTTAACATATTCAAAGTACACATTACATAATTTAATATATTTCGGATATTTTGGTTATATCAAAACACATTATAATTGGATAGTTAACGTGTTGGAATGCCACTTTAACAAAAATTGTACACACTAGTTCACTACACATTCAATTTACACAAATAATTTAATATAAATTGCACAAATAATAACACAAATAATTGAACACAAATATTAATTTAAATATTCAAAGTACACACTAACATATATTTCGGATATTCGGGCGGGTCGGGTTGGGATTTCACAAACCCTACCCGCCACCCGGTCTAGGCCCAATACTAATCGGATTTTCGGTTTCGGGTTTTTCGGGTCGGATATCCACTTCGGTTCGGATAATATCCGAAAAAAATATCAGGTTTTTCGGGTCGGATCGGGTTTTGCTCAGCCCTATATCAGAGTCACATATTTGAAATTTGTAGGCATAATATTCATGACGGGAAACTGATCTTTTTTCCTTCTGTTATGCAGAAATTCTTCTTGAGCAATGACATCCTCCGCGCTGAAGAGTTCTCTTGGACCAATGGAATGTATATATTTTTTACCATCACCACACTAATGATACCTTTCTATGCCTTGATGCCAACCACTCTTGCCAAATGGGAATAATAATGGGAATTGCAAAGGGTCCTAGCATCCATAATAATACAGGACTCGCTATGATTTACCACTATAGCTATGAGCACGAACATGTCTAAGCATCCCACATTCAAATCTTCTACCCATACTGCTGCAACTTCTTATGATGATTGCATATATTATACACACGCTGATCTAACCCACAATTGGCGTGAATGGAAACACCATATTCTGGTAGATTTCCTGGGCCTTGTAAGTTTCTAAAAAAGTGAGCATAGGGATTGTTGTTCATCAACTTGACTAAATCAGCAACAACGCCAACATCGAGGTTAGTCGAAGGTAATAACCTTGCTTAAATATCATATTGCGAGTCATAAAAACATAGCTGGAGTTTTTTAGGTAATGCACCATTAGGTTCTAAGTCATTTATAAAGTGATACATTTGGCCTTGTACTTTAAACGTGTTGATTCCTTTGTTACTCCGTGCCAAATTATGATCATATTTGTGGAGGCTAAGGGAAGTGAAAGCAAAAGAGTTATTATAAGCACGAGCATAAGCACGAGCATATGCTTGAAAATAAATCTTTAAGCAAAGGCGGCATTTCATTTGAAACCAAATGGACTTCTCCACTCGAGCAACAAAACCCAGGGATTCAAATTGAAGGCGACGTCCCATCTAAATGTTTTCATTTTATATTTTAGCAAATAATTAATACTCTTAAATAGCAATTTAATCATCAAATATTGAAAATTAGTAATAATTAAATACTTCACTTGCTCTTTGAAAGTTACAACATTGAGATTTTTGCACTATTCATGCACCTTACTTTGATTACGATTTTCTAACAATATATATAATCAAACTATTATGTATAAACTATTAATAAATGTCTATTGATGTAAATGGATAAAATATCAACTTTTTTTTAATGTTTACTAATCCTTAATTAAATATAATTACAGTCAAAGTTGTGCGTTTACAAACGTGAAAGTCAAATTGTTACAACTTTTAACGAACAGAGGACAATATATATGACTAAAATAAATGTTGTTTGCAAAAATGTGCTTAGTGACTAAAATAGTATTGAAATCATAATAACTTATATTCAAATTTTAAACTTAAGTTATTATGAAACTACACTGAAGTAACTATTAGTCATATTTGAGGAAATAAATGTTATTTTAGAATATTTTTTAAAAAATTCCTAAAAATAATACATTTATAACATTACAATCATTATCAATAATATATCACTTTATATACCCATCAAAATTATTTATCAAAATATACTCGAATTAGAATGTTTAATCATTGTTTAAACAATCATGTCATATTATTATGATGAGAATATTTGAACGGAACGGAGGTAAGATATTTTCTTTTGGAGCGTTTTAGTCCTAGACCAGATCAAACAAGACTTAACTAGACCTGACAAGACCAGACCAGATTTAAGCAGATCAGAACCGATTTAGAAGATTATAAAACATACAAAGGCTAAACATTTAACATAACAAACCAGTTCAGTCTAGACAAGATTTAAGCACATCAGATCAGATCATACCAACAAATTACAGTCCAAAAGAAAACATGAGTAGTATCAACTAAAGCTAGGCTGCCAGAGTGGGCCACAAAAGGAACACCCAAGAAGGAAACCTCAGGCCCATTAGCCCGACCCCGTCTTCCTTCGTGATCCCTATCATCTGAGGTATATAGCCAAAGCCGCTCCCGATGTTAACGGTTCCTTCGTCGCTCTAGTGGACGCTTTTCGCCCCGAATCGTTTGTTGCTCCGGCCAACCGATCAACGAGCAAGAACAGTCATGGTTGCCCCCAAGAAGACTGTGAGTCTCTTTACCTTTCTTCATACGTTTTTATCTCAGATGTATACAAATGGTTGATTTGCTTTCTAATATCACAGAAGAAGACCCATGAGAGCATTAACAACAGGCTTGCTCTGGTCATGAAGAGTGGAAAATACACTTTGGGATACAAAACCGTTCTCAAGTCTCTCAGAAGCTCTAAAGGTTTTCTTCTTCATATCACTTTCTCCATTTAATTAGGAACTTCTAGCGTTGCCTCAAATGGATTTGTTGTACAATATAGTCTTTTCATTGTTTCGAACTTATTATCCTGCTTCCGTATTCTAACTAGGTTAACAATGTACAGTTGCTAAATGTACCCCCGTGGTGACCCACACGATTTTTTTGCTTTACTTTTCAAATTCTTTCTTCCCTTCCCCTCCCCTCCCCACTAGGTTAACAATGAGGTTTAACAAGTCTAGTTCAGGTATCAAGACGGTCTGTTCCAGAGAGGTGAGGTGTAAGCCTCAAAATTTACCCCAAGAAGTAAAACTTAAAATAGTTCAACTAGTATAATCAACTATACATATGCATAATGAAGTCTAAAAAGTCTCAAACACAAACACATATATGATCACATCATCAACCACGATAACTCAAAATGAGAATTCAAACACAGAACAGACACATCTCATAGATGACCAAATTTGAAACTCTCGAAGTTTAATCATCATGACGAAAGGTCTTCAGAAGAAGCAGTATATATTTATATCTTATAGCCTTCTCACCGTCATCCCTTCCATCATCTCTATCAAAATCCTCAAGTTCTTTCTCTTCATCACCATCAATTACCTCCATTACTTGCTTATTTTTCTTATTTTTTCCTTGTTCACCCATCTGCTTCATTCTGCAAAAGTATGAATAAGTTTCAATGACATGTAGAATGCTTAATATATGTTAGGTTTTAAATGAAACAAGACTTG